CTGCCATTATTGAGTCTCTTCTCCAGCTGAAGGAATTTGTTTCATTTTGTTTTTGAGATAGGGCCTGGCTTTGTAGTTCAGGCTGGCCTTGAACTTATCACAACCTGCCTGTCTCAGCCTCCTGGGTGCTGGGATTACAGGAATGTGACACCACCATGCTTGGCTCTGAAGTTATTATTTTTAGCTTTCTTTACCTATTTTTTTTTCAATACCAGTGATTAAACTCAGGACCTTGTGCTTGCCAGGCAAGTGCTTATTCTACTGAGTCACCTCCCCTGCCCTTTTTACTTAATTCTTTGCAGGGTGGTTCTTAAGTGCAACCAGAAGTGGGGTTTCACACTATTTCTCATAGGAGTCAGCTGTGTTTGTTTTTAATTGTTATTTTCTGCTCAAGTGGGAAACCTGCCCAGCGAACTTCATACTTCAGGAAGTGATGCTAATGAGCAGTGTGACCCCTTTGCAAGTCCTGTGCTACAAGAGGTGGGGGCCCTTCTCTGTCCATATCTTACAGCCCTACAACAGAAGCTAGCACTCAGGAAGCTTTTGTGGTACAATTCTTCTGTAAGTGCCTACTGGGATTATGTCCTGTCATCCTCCAGCCTTGCTCTGCCACATCTACCTCTTTGGACACTAAGCCTCTAGCAGCTTGGTTTGGTCTAAGACACTGGGGCAGGCCAGCTCATTATCCTCATCTCTCAGCTCTTTGGCTGATGCCAAGCAAATGCTGAGCCAGTATTTAAATGGATACTATCACGGATTGATTCATAAGATTTAATTTCCTCCTTGGTCGACCTACTTTGACGCGAGAAGTCGATTAGGGCATTCAAAATATAAGGCAGGTCCAAAGCTCCTCACGTTTCCCAAGTCACTGACAGGGAAGTTCTGTTGCACTCCAGCCTTGGAATCCCCAAGCGCCCCTTGGTCACCTGGTTAGGTCTGCACACACATGCCATCATGCACGTCCTGTTTGTAGCATAACCTATCATGTCGCCATGGAGACGAATGCATTAATGAAGAAAAAGAGTATTTACTTCTGAAATTGGCATCCTGACTCCTGAGACCAAGACAGTTAGTAACGAGTCTAGAGAGTTTTGCACAATTAAAACCAAGTCGTGATAGAGAACATCCAATAGAATCATTAGAAGGTGGAATTCAGCCCCTCTGCAGTTTCATCTCCAATTTGCACAAAAGGATGTTCCTTGAGGACTTACTATATGGAGGATTTTTCCTCTCTCTTTTTGATTATAGGGTCTCGCTATGCAGTTCAGGCTGGCTTTCAGCTCACTATGTAGCCCTGGCTGCCTCAAACTCACAGCCGCCCTCCTGCCTCAGCCTCCTTGGGCTAAACCAAACATCAAATAAGCCTCCCCTCAGAGTTAATCACCAGTGGAGAAGACAGATATTTAGGAGTAAACAATAAATTAGGCTAGTGATAATGAGGCCCAAAGGAAACTAAGAAGCCCTGCCTGGATTTCACAGACCCTTGAACCTCCCTGACTGAGGGATATTTACACTGAGAGACCTTTGCTCTGAGGTTTCAGAGGTATTTATTAGAGTAACTGGAGAGAGAGAGAGAGAGAGAGAGAGAGAGAGAGAGAGAGAGAGAGAAGGTTGTCCTCTCAGGTTGAAGAGGAAGCAGTGTTTAGACTCCCTCAGTGTTTTTAGGTTGGCGAATGGCTCCATCCGGGTCTCATCTCTGCATGTGCATAGTGACGAGTGAATAGTGTGGTCTCTACCCTTGTTTCTCTTGAGACTGCTGTCTTGCATTTGCAGCTGGGATGTCAGGGAGGGTGTGTGGAGCTGCTGAAGCTACACATTCTCAGGAAGGGTCCGTAAGAGGAAACCCAACTGTTTCCTAAGAAGGAAAGACCCTTTTCCTTCTTATGTTAGGTGGCCAGTGTCATACCTGAGAGGGAAAGCTTCTTGCTCATAGTTTCTTCTTGCTCCAAGCCAGGTTTGGGTTAGCCACAGTCTTAGTGTCATGTTTTTTACTTAGAAGCATTTATTGAAAGTTCTGAAAAACAGAACAGTCAACGGCATGAAATTTTGTGCTGTTTCACATGATTAATGATATAATTCTGAGCCCTTTATAAAGCGTCTTAGCACCAGAGAGATTTAGACAGTGTGGAGCGGCAGCAGTGCTTGGGTGTGAGAATAGGCACTCAGTACCTGGAAGCTTGGCAACAGCGTTCTGTTTCCTCCACTAATGACGTGGGGGTTTTGCAAGGCAAGGATGTCTGGAGCATGACGCGCTCCCAAGAAGAATGAATTTAAAATCTGAAGTGGAAGATCAGTTTCAATTAAAATTACACTTGAATGTATATTGGGTAGAAGTGTGAAAGCAAGCGTGTCGTCAGCTTAAATCTTTAGATTGTTACTAATGAATAAAGGAATCTTACAGTACAAACCCTGGTTATATTTTTCTACAATGCTAAATTATATCTCCGCCATCTGTAGGAAGCAGTGAGAGGTAATATGAATGGCAAATCGTCTTCTGACCCTGCAGGGTATTATTATCATCATCATCATTATTATTATGGTTTTGGGTAGGGTAATTATCAGAGCTCTGTATTTTCACAAATGCTGGCTTAAATTTATTATGTCTTCAGAGTTGTTCCCGTTCGATTCATCTTACCATGTCTCATAGCATTTCTCCTCAGTGAGCGAGGTTCTATCATACTAGTAAATTCCCAGAACACATTTTTTTACACACACAAACATACAACTGTGGATAGGATAACTGGAGCCTTTTGTTCGGTCGCTTCCCCTTTTCTCGAGTGTAAACATAAGATGAAGATCGTGTTGGACTCCAGTATGTGCACGTTCACACCCTGTCCCTTTGTGACTCATCACGCTCTGAGGAGATGTAGGTAAGAGATGAAACAAGTGAAGAAAAAGCCTTGACACTTCTTGGTTCAGCTGGACTCCTATAAAGAAGTGGTGATGCTAACTTTGTTTGAAAGTGTCGTGGCACTTGTAGATGTCTTCAGAGTTCCCCGAGGTTGCTAGACTTTTGCCATCCCATCAATGTCTTCTTTGTAACAGTCTGTTTTTATCTTACTATTTGGGTTGATAATTGAGGAGAGTTACCCAGACATTGGAGCAGGCTTTACAGATGTGTCAGGAAGCCAAATTAGGAACCCCTCCTCCACCCCAGTAGCGGAGCCTTGAGCCCAGGACCTTCATCCTAACTGTATCCCCAGCCTCTGCTTATTTTTTATTTTGAGACAGATTTTTACTAAAATTGGGATTCTCCTGCCTCAGCCTACTAGAGTGGTGGGATTATTGGTGTGCACCAACACACTGCTCTCTGAAGTACTTTTGAAGAGCAATAGATGTGGCTGTTGCAGCCCTGACCCTCAGTCCCCAAAACAGAAAGGTTCCTCTGAGACTGTCCTGGGATCTCGTGGTTGTCCCTCTCTTCATGGTGCCGTTGCTGATGTTGGCTGTGAGCAGTGCTGGGTGGGAGGAAAGAGAGAACACTGTGGCAAAGGATTGCCTGGTGGCATCAGACACATCAAGAAGCACTGCATTCAGTTTTATAATATATTCTTTGGGCATCTGGAAGAAAACTCCATCTGTGAATAGGATAAGGGGAGCCCTTTGTTCGGTCGCTCCCCCTTTTCTCAAGTGTAAACATGAGATGAAGATCGTGTTGGACTCCAGTATGTGCACATTCACACCCTGTCCCTTTGTGACTCGTCACAAAAGAGGCCTTCCTGGAAAGCAGGAGGGAACTTAGCCTTGAACTTTCAAGTCCTCTGTCATTGTGAGGTGGGGTCTGTGAATCCCACTGTAGCTGTTCTCTTTTTTTCTGCCTGATTCTGGAAGATATTTAAAGCCACAAAACCTAGAAGATGCCTATATATACATTTACGTACCCTGAACTTTCTAGACTGAGATGAACTCTGTTTTATCTTCTAAAAATTCATGCAGTTCAATTCAGATATATTTTATTACTTACTACAAAGATTTTTCTTTTTTTTTTTTGCGGGAGGTACTAGAAACCCTGGGCTTTCACACTGAGCAAGGTCTCTAACTCCTTTTACAATTTTTCTCTTACTTAGAGATAGTCTTGCTATGTCACTAAGTTGCCAGGCTCAGCTTGAATGTTGACTCCTCCTGCCTCAGCCTCCCAGAATGCTAGGATTATAATCATGCATTACCATACTTGGCTTTGTATTGCTTTTAGTTTTTTTTTTTTTTTTTTTTTTTCATTAT